ATTAGGGATTAAATAAAGTGATGCTATTTAAATTGTATTGGTAATGCCCTGATCAAGAAACTACTACATTTTTTCAAAGGTAGCTGTCACTGCAGTATTTCTAATTGCCCAGAATCATACTTTTTAAGCCACAGCAGTAAAAGACATGCAACGTCTTCTTTATACCTGTAAGTGTAGCATAAATATTAAAAACAAAAGAAAAAAAGGAACCTGACCTCCTGTCATAATACTGAAATGTTTCATAATATAGTTCTGACACTTCATGCAATTTACACTTGTCATGTTATCATTTTGGCTTTTGGTATTAAGTTACTTACAAATATAACTTGATGGAATCAAGTTATAGAAATTGATTACTCTTTTTGTATCATAATGGTTGATCACTTTGGGATTGTGTATCCTATTGGATCAGTAATTGTATTTCTTCCTAAGTATGTGGGATGAGAGGACAAATAGAAAACATAGCTGTTTCAAAACTAGCACAAATCGAGCCAACTCAATTATAGGCAGAATTCATTGTTTTCATTCTCTAGATGAGGATTTTATGACATCTCTTTGGGTAGAGATTTGAGAAAGAAAAATAATTATAAAATTTGAGCAAAATATTGCAATATGCATTTTCATCAGGACATTCTGCCTGCATATGGGTGTATCCTTGGATCTCCTTTGTGTGCAGACTCTTGAAACTGCTCTTCATCATTTCTAAAGGATTCAGTTATCTGAGTAGATCCAACAAAAACTGCATTCTTTATGTGGGGGATCTCCAGCTGTCAACAATCCAACTATTTCCAACAATTTCTGCAAGTCCTAGACCAGCCTCTAGCAAACTCTTCTAAGCAGAAAACACTTTGAAAAACAAGCACATCCCCTAGACTGCTGTGTTCAGCTTTCCAGATGCATTAAATCCTCTCACTAGTCCTGCTGCTAGTCCCAGCAGGGCTCTCACCAACCAGGCTCAGTCAGGTGCAGTCAGGTTCTACCTGGCTTCTCAGCACCCAGGAGCACCAGAAGTGATGCCCAGGCTGTGTCTTCAGAGCAAAGACAGCTTCATCAGGAAAGCAACACACCTCACCTGGGTTTTAAACTTCACTGTTTCAAAGTTGTTGCTTTAGGGCATAGTAATTTATAATAGCAGAAATCAAGGGACAACAAAGAAGGTTCTACCATACCTTGTTCTAAGAAACAGTTAGATAAACTAAAATGAGAAAACTGGCAATCGTCCTTCTCTTGACCTTCTCTAAATCATTATTCCTAATTGCACTGCTTCTATATCTTGGATCTACCAAGGGGAAGGGGAAGGGGAAGGGGAAGGGGAAGGGGAAGGGGAAGGGGAAGGGGAAGGGGAAGGGGAAAGAAATTTCCCAGCCATTACTTACACCTTTTCCACTGGCTCTACTATTGTCACTTTTCTACTCACAACAAATGAAATGAAAACTTTTGTAAAACACAGTGCTAGTGGTAACAAATTATGTTGTCAGTGTGACTCATTTGACTCCTCCAGGCAGTCTCCAAAGATCTCTTCACTTTATGAATCTCTATTGTTTCCAGATGGGCAACCATTGGCTTTATGAGACAGGAATTCAACAGGATATGGTGTTCTATAAAAAAAAAAAAAAAATGTCTAGCCAACAAAAAACAATATTAAGATGATATATTGAATGTTAACAAGAAGTTTCTGTTAATGAGAAGTTTCTGTTAACTATGGTACCTGGGAAGATGAATAATTTGTTTAATGTGTAACTGCCATCAGTTTACATGTTGATAGCCTGCTGCACACCTTTTCCCTATCCATTTATTTAACATACTAGCTTTTAACCTTTCCAAAGGTTCAATCTGTCCAGTGAAAATATATCTTTAATGATTTGTTTCAAACACATTAATGTGCTTTACCTTTTAATGTGCTACAGAGCATTTATATTTTAAATTCCACTTAAAATGTATTTGGCATACTATCATTACTCTTGGAGAGATGGCTGGCGCAAATTGCTTGAGGCAATAACTACTTTAGTTGCTACTGTTAAATTTACCTTCAATTGTGTGTCCAAAGTTTTAGGAGGACGTTTTAGGCCTTTGTATGATAAAAAAGTAACTTGAGACAGATTGCCAAAAGCTAATACTAAGCACTATCTTGCCTACATGTAGTTGATAAAAGTATTTTTAGCTTGGAAAAAAAAGTGGATGAAATTCTCACAAGCAACAACATAAGTGGAAAGGGTTTGTATGTCGTTTCCATTAACAGTGAGTTCTCTAATTCCTTAACCTAACAGAAACAGGTTATGAATTTAACTAAAAATAAATACTTTTCGAATAGGCAAAACAGTGGTGATATTTTCATATTCTTGTGGAAAAGGAATTGGTCAGGTGAGTCATTTTGCACACACTGAAGATCAGCGGAAATTTTCCTCTACAAAAATTAATTTGTGATACTTTCTGTCTGAGAATTACCTCCAGTTAATCATTTGTTTCTTATCATCAGTGACTTTAACATGTTATGCATCTTACTTTGTTCCCATCTTCCAAAGGGTGTAAACTGCACACTGTTGAACAAATCTTGCTACATGTTGCTAGCATTATTAACTACACACAAAACCAAACATTAACTACCTAAATCTTCTGTCCTTTCCTTCCTATGTTCTTGGCAGGGCATCAGAAATCAGCACCATCTGAAACAGATCATTAAGGTAGGATTTTCTTGTGAAAATGTACTTCTGTCCTATAAACATTTTGTTTTACTAAAACAGAGAAATCTAAAGAAAGTTAACAGAAATCTAGTACTCTGCATTTGCCTGAGGTTGGTTAAAATCAGACAAATGTAAAACATCTTTCATTCTCTCCTCCTTTGGTCTCCACTCAGTGAAAGGCCACTAATTGCAATAGACTTCAAAAAGGCTGTTTTGGTAATTGTGGAATGTGAAGTACATGGCCAATGTGGCCATAGTGGCTTTTCTATCACTCTTAGCAGGAATATCTGAGTAGCTGATTATTGCAGTTTTGTAGGTTTCTTGTTCTGTGGACTCAATAAAAATACAGTAGGAACCAGAATACAGCACCATAACTTGAGTATTTCTATCTCCCTCTCACGTCCACTAAACTCTGTGTGTTACTGCAAGCTGCTTCCCGCATCTTTGCACTGACAGCAGGACCAGAAACAGTATTATGAGGTTGATCTCAAATTATATATATCAGTTCTGAAGAACTGGCAATATATCAAGCAGACAGAAAATATATCTTCCTTTCACTCCTTCCAACATCTCCTCCTTACTACAGCCCCTTTCCTCCATCCAGCTCCTTGCTGTATGCCAGAAGATTTGAACTTACACACCTTTTTGAAACCTCCACTTATTAGTTAAACTTCATTGCAGCCGACTCACAGGTTGAAAACTGTTAGGAAAGGAATAACAGAGGACTGGGTATCCAGGCAGACACCAAATCATATAGCATTATGTCATAGGGAAAGCAGGCCAGGACTTGCCTGATGCCACATGAAATTCAGATAGATATCTTTTGTGGATGAACCACAGAAGTATGAAAGCTGTGCTTCTCTGGATTTGAAACAGTTGCTATATTTGCAACGTTTACTTACACCATCACATGTGTTCTGTTTTGCTTGAAATCTACAAAGTTAAAAATCCAAAGGGGCCCATTTCTCTTACATACAAATGAACCATGTAAAGGTGGACCACATATCACCATATAAAGCGTACAGTATGTATGGTACACATATATTGTGAACTCATCTTTACTGCTGTATGGGTTAACCACTTTTTTATTGGAATTTTCGTTCCCTTTCTTTATGTAACAAAGCTAGTTCAACAACTTTAATAGCTTCTATGACCAGCTTTTACCCTGACCTATCTCATGTCTCTTGATCTGTCAAGTTTCATCATGAGGCTCAAGAATTTGGCTCTCATTTTCTTTTTCCTGGTCACAGCAACTGCAACTAAGGCATTTGCATGCTAGCACTACAACAGCTTGCATGTCATAGCTGTGTCTGGTGTGTTGATCCATGACAGTGAAGGCAATTTACAGAACTTAATCTCTGCACTCAGAAAAGCTGAACTGGAAGACAAAGACACATGTACGCACCTCCGTGTGTGCTGAAAGCTTGAATTTCACGGTGTCTGTGGATATATACTGACAACACCACATGTGTAAGCACTATAAGTACAATGCAAGTAAGTCATCCATAATGGCAACATAATATGCTTTGAACACTACGCATGAGGATAACATCTGAAAAAAAAAAATTAGGTCACTAACTGGACTGCGTGTGTGGGGCCTTTTAATAGCAGCACCTTGGGTGCACACACACAGATCCTTCAGCAAGAGATTGTTGGCGCAGCACTGAAGTGTTCGTACTTGCTGAACACCAGGCAGCTCTCGCGGGAAGCATGGAGCAGGTTAAGTGCTGCAGTGAGATGACGGAGCTGCTTATGTGTACAAACTCCTGGTGTTCCACTCAGTCAAGGATTCCAGTTTTCCTGCGCAATAACTAGCGTTAGAAAATGACCTTTAAAATAAAGGAGCGCAACGTTTGGAAGCAGCCTGGCACAGCGCTGGGGCTGAGCTACTGTAGCCCCACCAGGGCGCTCCCTGGAAGAACAGCCGGCTGAGTGCCTCTGGTAGCCAAGACAAAACGGCGGCGCGCACGGCCCAGAGCGTGCGTGCAGACGGCCGCGTCTGGACGAGCAGCGTGTGCAGGAGGGCGACGGCTGGGGCGGGGAGACCGCGAGCACACGTCCCCCGGCCGCCAGGCCTGCCTGCTCGCCTGAGCCCTCGGCGCTGCAGTACGGCGAGGCTGGGCGCGGCCGCGCGGCCATTTCGCTGCCCCCCGCATTCCATCCCGCCCCCCGGCCACGGCCGCAGGGAGGCCGCCGTCGCCATGGTTACCGCCCGGAGTCGCCCCCGCCCGCCCCCGCGCGCCGCGCCCCGCCTCCAGCCCGCCCCCGCCGGCCAATCGGAGGGGCGGCGGCGGCTGAGAGAGGTTCTCTTTGTTCAGCCATTTCGGGGTCCTCCGCGCTTTTGGGTGCGGAGCTGCGGAGGGAGAGGACCGGCCGCTCCCTCGCCACTCCCCTTCCCCGCCGCCGGGCTCTGGGATGGTGTGGGTAGGTGTGCGGGCTGCAAGGGGCGGGCTGGGACGTCCCATCGGCGGCCGCTGCCGGCGGGCGGGGGCTGGGGGCCGGGCCCGAGGTCGGGAAGGTGTGAGCGGGCTGACGGGCCGCGGCGGGGTGTCGCCTCCCGCCCCGCGGGCTTCGCGCCCCGCGAGCTGTGCTAGGCTGGGCGCCTCCCCCCGGAAACGGCGGGTGCCGCTGCCCCGCCGCGCCGCCGGGCTCCAGACACTGCGGCCAGCCGGGGAAGCCAAAGTTGGCTCGGAGGGAGCGACGTGGCCGCGGTTCGTGCCTCGGTTTCTGCAGGGCGTGGGCTGCGCGCTGCCCTCTGCCCGCATTTGGCTAGGTGGGGGCTTCTCCGTACTTGCGTCTGCTCAAGGAATGCCAGAGGGAAAATATCTCCTTCCTCTGGGAAGGCCTTTAGATCAGCCGCCCCGATGGAGCTGGCGAAGCCCGCGTGGGCTGGCCGTGCAGCGGGCCCGAGTGCTTTCCGTGTCGCTATGAACGCCTTGCTTAGCTTGCAGGCTTCTGTTCTTCTGTCGTAAAGACAATAATTCCTCTCTCTTGATTCTGGGCTCCAGAGCCAAGAGATCCTGCTGCGAAGGCTGTTCTGTGCCGTATGTTACTGCAGGTTCACAGCGTGTTTGCTTTCCCTCTTGCGTGTTTCAGTAGCCTTTAGTGCGTGGTATTTGAATACTTCGTAGTTACACTCGAATCCTTACAGCACCCGCTGAACAAGAAGTGGACTTGTCTCCTTGTAGTGCATAGGTATATGAAAAGAACAAGAATAATCACATGCCCGAGACCGTGCACAGACCTTTTGGTAGAGCTGTAAAGTAAGCCCCTGTCACTAATCTACAGCCTCAGCTATGTTTAAAAATAACAGTATGTAGCCTGTTTCTAAAAGTTCTTGTTTCGCATCTGCTGTGTGAATTGTGGTTATTTTCAAGCTGTATGTGGGAGGATGGAGGAAGGTTGCTCACAGTTGGAAATAACAGTTTTCTGTTTGATTAGAATTTCCCTGGAATACATTTCTTTAAAATAGTTCATTCTCAAGGCAATATGTGCAAAGATAATTCTATAATCTGGCAAAAAAAAAAAAAAAAAAACAACCGTTAAAAATACAATTTATTCTGCCATAAAGTAGGGAATCTGTGGTTGAAATTATTGACGAAGGACTGTGTTTACTATTGCTTACAGATAGAGACACGCATTTCAGTGATTTCAGAAACTGATACAGATGTATGCACAGCTGCTAAATTGAGCTAAACATGGCTTGTGACAGGAACACGAGAGTAACATTCGTTATGTGTTTACCAATGCCTGACCTGCATTTTTACAGTACATAGTCTTTTAGATTCCAGTTTAGGAGCTCTTGTCTGTGTCATTATTCTAGAGAATGCAGCTGCGTGTGGTTAATTTTGGGAGCTGTGCATCCATCACCTGATCGCATAGAGCTGTCCAGCATACAGGCAGAGCTGGGGCATAATCCAGTCAGATTTCCTGCCAGATCCTGCTTTGGGCACGCTGAGATGCCATGGCAATACAGGAAGGTGACAGGAGGCCCACTGTCATTCTTCATTGCAGCAGATAGTCAGAATCTACAGAGTGGAAAGATCAGGGCTGAAATCAATCCTGAGGTTTTATTTTTAAAGTATCTCATTGGTAGAGATATCCTTCTGTAAAACCAGTGTTGCTGCTAATGTATGAAAATTTGGGGCACAAGTTTGTGTATCTGGTATGCACTGCATCAGTCTTGTTACTATTAGTGAAGTTTGTGCCAGTGATATTCAGTGGGGTGGGATTTTTCTTTGATTTGTTTTTGAGAGAGCTAGCACTGTTTTTCTGTGATCTTCAGTCCTTAATTCCATTGTGACTTTGATTTTTTTCTTTTTTCTTCGACCACAGAAATGAATTTTGTCAGTTGACTCAGTTCCAGATTCTATGAATGCTGAAATGTGTAACAGCATGTTTTTGCATTTTGTGGGTTTTTTTTTTTTTTTACCTATTCTACATCTTTCCACTATTTAATAGTATTGATTTGGATAATTAAGATTGAATTTCTGTATCTGCTTATGGATTTCACTCATCTGTATAGTATGCAAATGATATAGGGCCCACAATCAAAACTGCATATTCTTGTTTATATGCTGGATTTATGTATATGATATATACATGATAAGTCAGTGTATCTAAACAGCTGTTTGTGCATGTACATGTGGGTGCAACGGATGGTGGCATCTGTTAATGTTCTTGAAAGGTGCCTTCTAAATGGCACTTTTATCCTCCAATGTGTGGTTTAATCAGCTGAGGGGGAAAAAAAACAGTTAATTTGTCGTGGGCTGAATGTTTTAGAAATGATGAGGCTTTGTAGATGTGTGTGTTTTGGTAGTTTTTTGTTTGTTTTTACTGAATTAAATCTGACATAAGGCATAAAATCAAGTAAAACTCATTTAATGGAGTTTTACCTTTTAAACCTTGAGTATAGAGTAGAAAGTTACTGTTAAATGATTCTCTATTAAATAATTAAATTTTATAAAAGCTTTTCTTTACAAGCTTTTGTGAAATATTTTTGAATATACAGAACATGATATTTATAAGGAGCCGGATGTTAAGTGCTTTAATTTAAATAATTGATGCTAAACATAAAGCCAGAGGGAAAGACAAGGTTGTTTTGTTTTGTTTTGTTTTTTTTAATCAGAGTCTTAAAAATAGTGGGAAAGTAGGTACAGAGGTTCAGGAGAACTGTTATTATATGAAAATCTGAAAAGAAAATATTTGCAGAAATGATGGAATAGCACATTCCAGGGGTTTCCAAACCTACTTAGAGGGTATATCGTCATCAGCATTAATTTCTGTCATCCAGTATCATGTGGCTTTCTAACTGTGCAAAGCCAGTGTTCCTACTGTGTATTCCTGTCTTCCAAGCTAGGATTGCAGGCCACTACTTATGCTTACCTCCACTGTCCATTCATGCACATGAAGATGTTTATGCTAAATTTAAAATTCATCTACTTCCTTTCTTTAGCTCACACCCAGATTGCAAGTCTTCACTTCCATCGAACACGAAGTGGAACCTGCCCTCTGTGCTTGTTACATCATTTATCCTGCTCTTCTAGCTTTGCCATGTCTTAGTATTCTTCCTTTAACCTGAATTGGAGGTGCCAGCTTACAGACAGCAGAGTTGCTCATTGCTGTTGTGGGTGCTGGCCACAGTAGAGGCCCTAATAGTCCCTAGTTGCCTCTACAAAGCCTTGGCAGGACACAGGATGCAGAGAGACTCCAGTCTTTTTGAGAGCACGGAGGGCCAGGAACTGCAGCTCAGCTTAACACTGAACAAAAAAGTAGATGTGAGTGGTAGGTGTACTTCAGCTTGGCCACTTTTAGAGAAACAAGGAAACTCAGCAGCAGACAAATGCAGAAGGGCAAGAATCTAATTTTAATCTGAGGCTAAAAGCACTGATCTGCTTTTTAAACTGAAGAAACTTAAGTGCAAAGATGTAAATAGATATCTGTATTTCACTCAGTGGAACTTTAGTGAATTTGTTTTTTATCTGGTGAGATGGCAACTTGAGTACTGTGTTCACTTTGAAGCCTCTCACTACAAAAAAGATGTTGAGACCCTGGAATATGTCCAGAGAAGATCAGTGAAGATGGTGAGGATGCTGGAGCTCAAGCCTTATGGGGACTGGGTGAGGGAACTGGGTTTGTTCGATTTGAAAAAGAGAAGAAGGCTTAGGGGAGACATTATTGCTGTCTGCATCTACCTTAAAGGGGATTGTGACAAGGTGGGTGTTGGTCTCTTTACTCAGGTAGCTAGTGATGGGAGGTAGTGGCCTTAGGTTGTGCTTGAGGGGGTTCAGGTTGGATATTAGAAAAGATTTCTTCTCTGAAAGAGTGGTCAAGGTTTGAAGCAGACTGCCAATGGGTGTGGTGGAATCACCATCCCTGGGAGTGCTCAAGAACTGTGGAGGTGTAACAACAAGGGACTTGGTTCAGTGGGTGTGGTGGATTGGTTGATGGTCTTAGATTAGCTATGAAATTGTAAAAGCTGGCCTATGAGTTTTTGATAGTCAAAGCTGCTATTTTCACAACTGTCAAATGATAATTAGAAGCATTTAGTTCTAATATAAAAGCATACATGCAGGGGGAAATTTATCTTTTCATATGATTTTCTTAATTCTTTTGTTTTATCAGTGGTAATTTAAATAGCAGAAACTGTAAGGAAATATTTAAACAGAGATTTGTGATAAAGTGCTAAGTAAAAAGGTGAGGTGTTCTTTTTAATATTACACAGTAGAGAAGAATTTGGTGTGATTGAAATCGTGTCAGAAGAAATTCTGAAAAAGAAGCTGTAGCATGGGCTTTTGAACTGTGGAACATCCACTAGAGCATCTCCTATCTCAAAATCAGAGGACATTTATCAGTGTGGTCGTATGTAGTATGATGTCCCCATTACAAGCTGATTCTTGCCTTTTCCGGGAAATAATATGGGATTAGTAACTCGCAACACTGTTGTGGCAGTATTGTATACATTAAATTACTCAAGCCTAAGCAGATGCAAGATGTAAGTGAACGCAAGCAAATGTATCCTTTTATTTAGTCAAGTGATGCTATCCTGTCTTCACTTCAGGGAAATGTGTATTAGAGAAAGCTAGTATTACACAGATGTGCTTCAGATTATACTCACTTTGTCATAAGCATGTGAGAGACTGAACTCCACTTTCCTGAGTTATTAATCCAAAATATATTTTTTAAGTAAAAGATTGGCAGAAATCCCCCCAAATATTTTATTTTTTTCAATTGAGTAAAATATTTTACATTTAATTTTTAAAGTGCAGTAGTTGTACGTAAGAGGTCCATGTATAAATAAAGGCTCAAACATTTTAGGCAAATGGAGGAAGTAAGACTTTTTTGCTTATGACTGCAACTGAGTTACAAAAGAAAACACAAGTGTTCTGCATTGAGCAGTTACAAGGACAATGAGAGCTTTGAGT